CTCTCTCTCTCTCTCTCTCTCTCTCTCTCTCTCTCTCTCTCTCTCTCTCTCTCTCTCTCTCTCTCTCTCTCTCTCTCGTTGTTGTTGCTGGTGTTGTCTTCTACATGTGTCTTCTACATGTGTCTTCTACATGTGTCTTCTACATGTGTCTTCTACATGTGTCTTCTACATGTGTCTTCTACATGTCTGGGGCGGGTGGGATTGAAGAGACTGTGTTGCTATATGGTAAATGCTCTTTGAGTCTTGAATCACTCGTTTGGGTTGTTTACTGTCGTTTCCCTATCACGTTCCGAGTGAAAGAAAGGTTCGAGACGCGGAGAAAAGAATACTGCACTGACGTGACTGTATCCTTATGGATTTGAGCTTTGGAGTGTTTAGACAGACACACACACACACACACACACACACACACACACACACACACACACACACACACACACACACACACACACACAGAGAGAGAGAGAGAGAAGAGAAAAGACTCCTGACCTGTTTATCAGCGGGTACTTGTGTGTACCATTTGCCCGCCAGGCGGGTGGATTGGCACCAGAATAGAATGCACACCCGCTCATTATAATAGCTGTACTGGGGATAACTTAAGCTGTACTGGGGATAATTTGAAGTCCAGATGTGAATGGGCGTTCTATTCAGTTGAAGATAGTAGTTTTCTCTGTGTTTTTCTCTGTGTTTTTTTTTTGTTTTTTTTTGTTTTTTTGTTTTGCGATCTTCAGATCGACTTTGGATGAGTACAAGTTCTTGTGGCCACTTTCGCCTGATGGGTTTGCCCCCATGACATGTGACTGTCATGTTTGTGATTCAAACAGCCAGAGGGGGGTTCTTTGCGAGAGTTTACCCCCTCGCATCGCCAACTCAGCATGAATCGCCAGTTCTCCCGATGTTTCAGCTATTTGCGGCACAGACATCTCCCTGTCCGGCGCCTCCGGAGGTCACTTCGCATGTGTTCTTGCGCCTGCAACCAATGAAGGTGAAACTTCCATCAAACTACCATTCCATGCCTTTGAATTAAAATCATACACGACGCTGTTCTGCATAAGATGTATGGAAACTACCTTCTTCACACACATTCAACGTACGATCATTATTGCTGTATGTAGAATGAAAGATGCCCCAAATACAGCTATAATGACTGTTGTATGCGGGCGAAGAAGGTAGACTAGAAGGTCAGATACACTGTACAAAGTAATAAAGTACATCCCTTTCTGTTTTGCCTTTTTCCTTGTTGCCCTTCTGCAGGGGCCATGCTAATCTTCTCGGTATCGTTCATTTTCACGGATGTCTTGAAGAACATGCCTTCTTTTTGTCGATTTGTGAACAGAAGCTGTTGTGGGTTGCTCCTCCTTGACGCTGTCAAATGAAGCAAGGCATGGAATCCTTAATTTTTTTCACCACTTTAATGTTTATAAACCACCACTCCCCCCGACAGTCTAAACTTTGCTTTCCAGGCCTTTTGGAAGCCGGTATGCATGAAGGAAGGGGAGGTCTTCGGCAATTCAAAAAAAAAGAAAAAGCAGTTTAAACTTTAAACTTTAAAGTTTAAAGCATCAAGTTTGGCGGTTTTTCGCACGAAAAAAAATTGACCATGAAATCAATCGTCGTGCCGATTTGGCACATTTTCCATCTTCCCAAAACCATATGTGGGCCATCACGATTTTTGCTAGGGAAAACGTACTCCAACTTCAGAGATTTTTTTAGCTCAGAAAATGCATCGAAACTTCTCAAAACACTTTAAAAATCTGAATATTGGAGGGCCCGTAGATTTGGTCCTCATCTTTCCAGGAAAATTGTTAAAAAAATGGAAAGAACATTTGATTCATTTCGCCGCGAAATAAATCCCGGCGGCAATTCGATGCGTTTTCCATTGTTGCCGCTCTCCCCACTATGCTACCAGTAGCCCTCATGAACCCGTGCTACTGATCCCTCAAGGGGCGGTCTCAGGTTTACACGGAGAGTGTGTCTGTACCAGCATCTTCTATGTACCCCCGTGTAGAAGCACACAAAAGAGAATATTGAAGGCCTTCTTTAATAAACTTTAGGAGGCTTATACTTTTGATTCTGGTGGCAAATTGTGTGACTGTTTGTCAGTCAATTCCAGTACAACAAAAATTAGGGTAGATTTTAACTTTTAAGCATTTTAAGCAATTTTTGTTTCTTTTTGTTGTGCGTTTCTGGAAATCCCTTCATTTCGGCGGGGATTTGCCCCTTTCATTATTGCAACCTGTAACTGGATTTAAGACCTTGAAGTTCATTCAACAACGTCGGTCTAGCTCTTCTTCTGTTTTTTTAAACTTCTTTAAAGTTTTTTTACTATCAATCAAATGTGTCTACCGCGTACCCATCAGCCAGGTACATGGTACACGTTTGTGCTGAAGTAGGTAGAATATGGAATAGTCAGGAAATGGCCAGAAAGGAACGTGTTAGCTCTGCATTACGGAATGATCTGCAAGAAGCCATCCTGAGGGAAGGCAGGGGCCCAAGGAAAAAAAAAAAAAAAAAAAAGGAAGAAAGAAAGAAAAAGAAAAAGAAAAAAATGAAAAACCTGCAAGATCGTGCAGTGTGTACAAGGAACTTGAAGGAAGTTCGCCGTTATAAGTTGTTTTCTTCGGTTTATTTGTTTGTTTTTGGTTTGCGAAGCGGTGTGTCTGTTTGAACTCAGATTTTCTCTGTTTCAAGGGTAACAGTGAGTGGGTTGGCATGTCCGGTGGGATCGCTGCTGATGACAGATTAACCTGCAAGAGGACTCTTGTCTGCGTATGGCGTCACTGCTGTCGGACGGTGCGATGGATGCGCCAGTGAAGGTCGTGAAAGAGCCCATCCTGAAATCGATCCAGATTCACTTGGAGGAGCTGGACATAACTCTTCCACTAAAGGACACAGGACCATCGGATGCACAACAACCAGCCGCGGGCCGGCAAGCTCGCCAACGAGGTAGGGGGGTAGAAGGAAAGGGGCAGTCTGGATTCACAGGCGCACAGTTATATATAGACGGATTATCGTTGATACATGACCCGAGCCTCAAGTACCGTGTTCTGCAGATGGACAAGGATGCGGCCTGCTATTTGTTCTGGGAAGGGCAGCCAGCCGATAACAGCCAATGGCGATTCGCGATTACTGCGGTTAGCATCAGCGCAGCGCTTGAGACGGGGCGGTGTGATGATCTGGGCTCCAATGTGGGAGAACGGACTTCCGGGCTGTGGAGGTGTCTAGAAGTACAAAATCCTTGTGTAGAGGTCGCTATGGCAACACAGGACGGGTCTCCAATCACAGTCATACCACCTCCTGGTGGCGTCTTGAGGGTTGGATTCAAGTGTCAGCAGCTGATGTCGAACACCTCGAGGGAGCAATTACTATTTGCCCTTCGGATGATACTGCACATGGGCAAGGTCACGAAGAAGTTCATGAAGATCGGCAAAATTCTTCGGAAGAAGGTTAGGGTTGAATCGCCGGTGGATGTCAGACAAGTGTTGGAAGAAGCAGCCGAGCAGCGGTTTGACGAGGACGAAGATGAAGATTACGACGACGACGAGTGGGATCTCGATGGGTCGAGTGATGGAAGTGCGACGGACAGTAGAGCTGGAAGCGATAACAAAAGCATCGGCTGTGCAAGGTCATCTAGCTCGATGCCTAGAAATGCTGGCGGCGTAGATGGTGTCGGGGAGTTGGCAACAGCAATTCCCGGAGACAGTGGTGTCACAATTCTTGTCGAGGCAGTGGAGATGAGGCTGTTAGAGTCTGTTCCCGGGCAGATTGCGATCGAAGGGCCTCTTCTGGGCCGGGTAATGGCAGCGGGACTTGGTGCTCAGGCAAAGTTTCGATCGTTGGAAGGGGCAGCGGCAATAACATGGAACGTCATGTGGAGGGACATCAGAGTGGAACTTGTCGACACGGAGAGCACTGGTGCCAGCGACCGGGACGCAGACCTCAGGGCCTTGGAGAGGGAGGGACTGTCTTCTGAAGGCATCGTCAAGTTTCTTAACTGGGGCATTGCTGGTGATAAGAAATCGAGGAGTCGACACGGCAGCCGTGGAAGTCGTGACTCGGGGGCCTTGGAAGTCGTGGATAAGCCGAGGCAACCGCCGATGAGGGCAGTCTTCTGGACGAAAGGGAAGGATGGCGAGGAAGAGAGCTCGGCATTCGGACAGGAATTTGAAGGCCGCCAACCGCTTCTCGAAGCGAGTATGGTTCACGTTATTCCGTACGTGGACACGGGTTCAAGGAGCTCTGTAGAGGGCAAAGTCCAGGTCACAGGAGTGCGGGTCGGTGGTGGCATGGAGTATAACGAAGCGTTGCTTCATCGGTTCGGAGTTCTCGATGAAGATGGTGGTCCCGGGGAAGCTGTTAAGCGGATACTTAAGATTCTGTCCAAGAAGCAGTTCTCCGAATTCCTTCGGAAACTGTCGAAAGGTCTGTTGTGCCTCACTGGTGAACCGCACACCCAAACTTCTAACAAATTCCCAGCATCACCCTGTTGCGCTCCCAACATTCCGCTGGGGAGATGCCCATGGCCCTCGCACAAGGATGAACAAAAACAAAACAAAAAAAAAAAAAGAGCACAATGAATACAAACGATCCCATGCATCTCCTAGGTGAGCAGCATCTGGTCCAAAGGAAGAATGTGGGTAAGGGAAGTCGACAATATGGATCCGTAACCTTGGGAAAAGGGTTGGCTCTAAGGGCTGGGCCTAGGGGTCTGCACCTCAATGTCGTTGGCTGCCGCTAGACTGCCCGAGCTGCTCTCGCCACGAGGATGCAACAACCGGAATGGGGGCGGGGAAGAGCAGAGGGGGGGGAGGGGAAGAGCAAAAGGAGGGAAAAAAAACACCAACCACCTCATCAACCATCCCCATCTCCTGTTCTGTCATCACAGGTGCATGCTGTGAGAGTGCTGTGAGAGTGCTGTGAGAGTTCAGAATCACAGACTTGAATTTGCCGCCAGACGCAATTACGCGTGCAATTACAGACTGCTAGGATTCTACACTTTTCTGAGAAAATGGTGCGGGCCTTGTGCGGCGATTGCTGAGAATTTCGGTTCTCAGTCTGTTTCGCCGTTTGATCGTGTTTTGGTTGTGTACCTATGTATCGTCAAACAGAGCTGCCCGGTAAAGCGTAAGTAGAGAGGGAGGGAGAAGAGGACAACAAACGAGGGGCTGTGACAAACTGTTTCGTCGGAGTTTCACCAACTCATCAGGAGGCTGAACCTATGTGTATACACACAGTGTGTTTTGATTGTGTATTCAATGAACTATACATGCATTCGTGATCGGCCACACACATGTATGTAGAGCGTTAGCTGTCGTTTGAGCATCTTGTTCGATTTCAGATAGGTGATCGGAGTCGCCAGTCGTTCTTTTTTCTTTTTAAAAGAACCAAAGGTAGGCTTGCCATTTAAAATTTAAAAATAATAATAAAAAGATTCGTAGTTGCGGCAAAGCTATGAGCAGATGCAAGTAATTCCGAACGAACAAAAAAAAAGTACCAGAACAAAACGAAAAAAAAAAAAAAAAACACGTGTGCTTGCCGGAGTGCAAGTCTGAGTCCATGCGCCTAACCTTGTTGGCCGTGTTGTTTCGCTGTGCCTCAGACAGAAACAGAGTAGCGATAAGGGCTGGACCAGGTTCAGGACGGGGGAAGTTGGCAGTAGGGACATATGTTGTGGGTAGAGATTAAGTTGTGCTCACGCCAAAAGGGGGGGGAACATCCAGTAGGCCAAGCGCAGCCAAAGGAGTCCAAGAACCCAGGTAGTGCCCTGCCAAGCGGTAGGGGTAGCGGAGGCCGGCGGGCAGCGTATAGTATATCATTTGGTGCGGTGAGCACTCCGCTCATTCACCAAGCAGTCATGCTGCTGCTTCTCCCAGTTGGAAAGGTTGGTGGAGCTCCTGGAGATGAAGGTGAAGGAGAAGAGAAGAGTCGGAAGACCTTTATGGCTATGGAGGCATTGTAGGGAGAGGTAGGGCAAGCCCCACGCTATGGAGGTAGTGGGAGAAGACCTTCCATTCGGGGCTATGGTGGTGGAGAGAGGCTGGAGTTGGGCTGCTTTCGGCGGTTGTAGAAACTCCCGAATGACGGGAAAAAGGAACAAGAACAACCCATACTTTTGACATTCCTGGGCTGGCTGGGCAGGAGTCCTGCCGGATCAGTCGCCCAGCTGCCCGGCCAGCCGTCCCCGTTACATAGGAAATAAAGATCTTCGAAAGAAGATCGTTGCGTAGGGAACAAAAAGAAAAAGAAAGAAAGATTGTTGCGTCGCATTGCGAACGTAGCAACTTTTGGACGAGGGTCGTTCCAAAAAAAAAAAAAAAAAAAAAAAGATTCCTTACTAAATTGAAAGTAAAATTGACAAATTGTTAAGTGGATTATGGCACACCCCTTGAAGCCCGTTTCTACACTCAGGAGTCGAGTCGCCCTAAGTTGAACCATCTTCAGATTCAAAGTTAGGGCGGCATTCGGAATGCTCAGACCGTGCGCAGATGTGGCCCGAAGCTGGATTGTTTTCTTTTCTCTGTTTTTTCTTTTTTGAGAATGAATGATTTTGTCACTGATGCTGCATTGATTTTGAATTGCTTGGCCCATTTTTCATCCTCTCCGCTCCTGGGTCATGTGGTGTCTTGCCAGGCCGGCCAAGCTCAGCTTCACTACCCTAGGGTATACCCTACCCTAGACAGTACCCTTTCCTACCCTAGGCTACACACTTCCCTACCGTAGACTATACCCTTCCCTATACCCTTTGCTACACTACAGTATACCCTTCCCTACCCTAGGCTACACACTCCCTACCCTAGGCGATACCCTTCCCTACACTAGGGGGTGTACCCTTCCCTACACTAGGGGGTGTACCCTTCCCTACACTAAGGGGTGTACCCTTACACTAGGGGGTGTACCCTTCCCTACACAAGGGGGTGCACCCTTCCCTATACTAGGGGGTGTACCCTTCCCTACGCTAGGGGTTGACCCTTCCCTACCCTAGGCTATACCCTGCCCACCCTAGGCTATACCCTTCGCTACAATAGGGTATACCGTTCCCTACCCTAGGCTACGCAGTCCCTACCCTAGGCTATACCCTTCCCTGCATTAGGGGGTGTACCCTTCCCTACCCTAGGCTACATACTTGCCTACCCTACGCTACACCCTTCCCTACCTTAGGCTGCACACTCCCTACCCTAGGCTATACCCTTCCCTGCACTAGGGGGTGTATCCTTCCCTACCCTAGGCTACACACTTCCCTTCGTTAGGCTACACACTCCCTACCCTAGCTAGACCCTACCTGCAAGGGTGTACCCTTCCCTACCCTAGTCTACACACTTCACTACACTACACCCTTCCCTACCCTAGGTTATACCCTTCGCTACACTAGGTGTACCCTACTGGGTTTCATGTTTCAGATATTGATTTTCTTGGTGTTTTTGTGTCTTATGAACCATCAGATCCATCTCCCAGAGCTAGTGAAGGTTCAACTGGACTGAGTGTTGGCATGCCCGACGAGCTGAATGTGGAGTTGCAACTCGTGGACTGGGCATTCCTACTCGAGCGGGTTTACAAACCGGGCCCGTCAAGACCGGGAAGCTCGGGAGGAAGGGGGTCTTCTTCGGGCACAAACAGGTCCTCAAGGTACAGTCGCCATTGGCACATGGGGTTCAGGAAAGTCCAAGTGGTTGCAGATTCGGCTGCTGCACCTTCTCCCTCTGTGACCGCAGAGAGGCCTTCACGGCCGTGGAAAATCGGCCGCTACAAATCGTTACCCTTTCAAGCGCTTAAAGTAAGTTCGCACAGGATGGCCTGTCCATCTCGCTTTCCGCCTCCCCATACCCTCGCTGTTTCTGGGAAGCTACCGAGAAGTTAGCGAGAAGTTTATGAGAAGTTGTGGTGCCTTGTGTGCTGTTTTTAGAACTGTATTGCTTGCTATTTGCTCTCTGTGCCGCTAGTGTGACGATGATCCAACGATTGGTGTCACTCTGCAGTGTTCATGCCAAAAATCACAAAGGAGTCGGCAAAGAACCCCTGGCAGTCGGGGGCTTGATGATCATAATGACGCTTAAAAAAAAGGAGGATTTTCATCCCACAGCACAAAAAAATCTTATCCAGAAGGTTATTGAGGGAAAAGGATTTGTGAATCTTACGGCATACTCACACTAGCACTTTCCGACATGCATCTGACTGCAATTACCTCCAGACTTGGATGAATGTGACCGTAATCACGCCCAGAGCTTAGTACCAAAAGTCCTTGTGCGTACGCTCTTATCCAGAACGCTATCGGGGGGATTATATTAATAATGCAGTGCCTCCGATGTCAGTCCGATAGGAATATCTCACACCGGGTCATGAAAAATTGCTGGTCAAGAGGCTCCCATGTCCCAAGACGAAAAACAGAAACTACTCTTTTTGCGTGATCGAAATTCTGAGGCCATGGTGTGACCGCTTAGGGCAGTCCGGCATGAATGGGGAATGGAGGCAACAAATCACGAGCCACCCTATAGTGAATGAATTCGCTAATGTGGCACCTCCTACCAGTATTTTCATCTGAGAGTTCATCACCTCACGCTGACTCAGATCTGACCACGTTCTTTTTTGGAGGCAACAAATCACGAGCCACCCTATAGTGAATGAATTCGCTAATGCGGCACCTCCTACCAGTATTTTCATCTGAGAGTTCATCACCTCACGCTGACTCAGATCTGACCACGTTCTTTTTCTTTACCTTTTTTTCTTTCTTTTTTTTTTCCTCTTTTTTTCTTTCTTTGTTTTTCGTAGAAGGGCGACGGCCGTGAGATATTGCCATGGACCTGACAGCCCCCCAGGTAATCCAAAATTAACAAATTACGCCGTCCTTTTTTTTCTTAAAAAAAAAAAAAAAAAACCAGCGCCCTCTACTATGGGGGGTGATAAAAGCCCCCCCCCCCCCCCTCCTTTAGTATCTGTCCCTGGTGACTCCATCTATTGGTTGGGGGGGAGCAGCACCTGCTGGAAACCGGATCCAGTGTCCCTGTATGTCCTTCATTCAAGGATTCAAACTTTTAGGTCAAGCTTTGTGGAAGAATTGCACCCTTGGCCTTGTACCAACTGAGCCAGGCCGTTGGTATGACAACCACCTCTCGTTGATGCACATATGACCTCGGTCTTTTTTTTGTTTTCTTTCTTTTTTCTTTCTTTCTCCTTTCTTTTTTCTTTCTTTATTTTTTTTTCTTTTTCCTTAGAAGGTGATTGCTTTGTGATGTTACCATCGAACTGCCCGTCCCCTACCGTCTTCACCCGAAAACAACGCCCGGGCGTTGTATTCAGTAAATTGGTGGCAACTTTGATAGGGAGCCAAAATGCCGAAGGAAAAAAAATAAAAAAATTCTGTAAAAACAATATGTTGTCCAGAATTGCAATGCGACCATCTCTTGGCTGGGGGTCACTACAGAATTCCTTATAAACTCGGAAATAGAAAATAAAAACAAAAAATCAAAACCGAAATATGCCCGTTGGAAGTCAAAACCCCTTTCAACCCCCTTTAAGACCCATGTATATTCCCCTCCCCGCCCTTTCAAACCCATGTGTGCTACCTCTACAAGGCACTCTGCCCATAAAGCATTGAAATATAATGCCCGTGCTTTATATTCGAAGGGGAGTTCTATTTGAGAAAAAGAGAGTAAAAACGAAAATCTGATCTTTTTAGGGTATAAGCTAGGCTACCAGAGTGGCCCGGGGTCACTTGCCCGGCCGGACCAAAAAAAAAAAAAAAAAAAAAAAAAAAAAAAAAAAAAAAAAGTAAAAATATGATTTTTAAATTTTATTTTTTATTCTAAACTTGGTGAAGAATTTTGATGCGACTCTGAGGCAAAAGTTGTTCAGTTTACTTTTCTGCATAACATAGTTTTTTTTTCAAAATTTTTGGAATACTTTTTTTTCTTTTTTTTTTTTTGCTGGGACCTTCCCTGTTCCTTGCACGGGCTGGCCACCCGGGACCCGGGCGGCCCGGCTGGTAGCCTAGGGTATAAGACTATTAAGTTGAATATAAAGCCCGGGCGTTATTTTCGGGTGAAGAAGGTAGGTGTTTCAGTAGTATTTGGTCCTGGTCATTCAAGGATTCGAACTCAGGTCTGTATTTCAGCACCTCGTTCTCAAAATGTCGAAGAATGGGGCCTCCTTTTTTGTCTGTTTTTTTTTCTTCGTAAACTGCCGGTACATCACCTAGACAAACTTGAGAATAGAAAAATCGAGCCAAGTAACCTTGAGAATGGAAATCAAGCCAATCCAAAAGTTTTGGGTCTTGGGGCTACCAGACCACAATGGCGGATGGCGCCAGCCAAAAAAGTCGAGAAAAGTGTGCCGCTGGCGGGTCGGCAAAGCTTAGCATCATGCAGTGCGAACCCGCCACGGCAAAAAGAGGCTCAGGGCATACTGAAACGGTTTCACCCAGTTGACCCGACATTGCAGACAGAGATTCGATCCCCAGACCTGTGCCCTAACCCTGTACATTGAACCTGTGTGCTGAGTGGGATTGGATCCCTAGACCTATCCTATACCTGTACATAGACCCAGTGATCTGAGCAGGCTTCGATCCCTAGACGTGCCCTACGTCCTAGGCTAGTCTGTAGCTCGGACAGTAGGACTTGATCCCTAGGTCTGTAGATTAGAAGTTAGGTCTGTTACTGTTAGGCTTAGAAGGTCTGTTCTAGAAATCTCTATCTGAGTCTACTGAGGCCTAGAGTCTGTCTGTAAGTCGGTAGGCTCTAGAAGGTCGTAGGTCCCTGTAGGCCAGTCCAGTCAGCAAGTACCAGGGGTAGGGGCTGCACGTGGGGAAGGTTCTGGACCACGTGGTGGGTTCCACACGTTTTGGCCCAAGAGGCCAAACGTCTGGAAGCTTCCCTGGGCCACACGTTTTGGCCCAGGCCCCCACGTTTTGAGGCAGGCCCGGGTACCTCTGAAGAAGTATAAATAAACAGGCAGCGTCCAGCCATTCATTCATTCGCCTGTGTGCCATGCGGAAGAGCTGCCTTGGTATCTTCTGCGTGGAGGACTGCAGGTGCCCAGAGAAGAAGTGGGCTGTGAAGAAGACAGCGGCCATAGCGAGCCAGCGAGGGAGACACCGGCGGCCATAGCTCGGAGGAGGAAGACGACGGCGGCCATAGCCCCTCAGCTGTTGGTGTAGATGGCGTTTACAGAGTGTGTGTGGCTGTGTAGCATGGACATTCAGGGTGATCCTCGTGCATGCGAGAGTGTGGGGAAGTGAGGCTGGTGGTAGAGACAGCGTTTGGCGGCCATAGCCGCAAGTTGTACAGTTGATTCAGACTGAGTTTAAGACAAGTGCATTGTTGTTTTTCAGTTGGAAGAGTTTGGTTTCGCCATCGGTTCTCAAGTGTGCATGTTGTGAGCAAGTCTGAAGTCGAGTCTGATTGCAATACTCACACTAGCAGTTTCCAAAATGCATCAGACCGCAATTTTGCCCACACCTGGATGCGATCGGGACCGTCGGCCCGGTACCAGTTGGCCAACGGCCCAGATTAGAAGTTCGCAGCGCAACCGAAGTTAGGGCTGCCAGGCGTGGGGAGAAACCGGTTTCAGGGGGCATGGTCTCCTATAGGGTGCAGCAGTTCGGCCCCCGCGCATGACTTCGGCGGCGCTCAGAGCCGGTGCATAGCGAACGAGACAACACTCACTCACACACACGGTCGCCTGCCCGCCCGCTTGAACAAGCACATGGATAAACACATGCACATGCATGCATGCACACGCACGAACATACGCACATGCACCCACGCATGAAATGCATCATGGGCAGACTGTGGAGGTTCAACCTCCTGCTGAGTTGGTGAAAGTCCAACGAAAGGGTTCAACCTCCTGCTGAGTTGGTAAAAGTCCAACGAAACAGTCTGGGAGAGTCGTGCTTTTTTGGGGGGGTTCACACAAACGCACGAACTAAAGGGAGACAAAGCGACATGAAGGGGAGGACGAGGAAGTGGAGGGGGAGGGTGAGGACAAGGAAGAGGAAGGGGAACACGAGGAGAAGGAGCGAAAGGAAGGCAAAAGGAGGGTAGGGAGGCAGAAAGGGATGAAGCTGGAGGAGAAGGGGGAGGAGGAGGACAAAGGGAAAGGACGAGGAAGAGGGGGAGGGCGAGGACGAGGAAGAGGAAGAGGAACACGAGGAGGAGAAGCGAAAGGAAGGCGAAACCCTGAAAGGAGGGAGGGTAAGGAGGCAGAAAGAGATGGAGCTGGAGGAGAAGGGGGAGGAGGAGGACAAAGGGGAAGGAAGAGAAGAAGAGGGGATAGTACAGAGGAGGGAAAGGAGGGAGAGCGCGCGTGTGTGTGTGTGTGTGTGTGTGTGTGTGTGTGAGAGAGAGAGAGAGAGAGAGAGAGAGAGATTGGATCGATCAGTTGCCCCCATCATGAATGAATCAGCTGTCATATGTGTTTTTGCGAGCGAAGCCGCAACAGGGCATCTAGTCTAGACTGAAAATTGCACCGAAATGAGGCTCTCGCTCTGACCTTCACCTACCGTCTTCACCCGAATAGACCATCTGGTCATTATCGCTGTATCTAGACTGAAAGTTGCACCAAATACAGTTGTAACCGATTAACCGAAACGTGGCTCTCGCTCTGACCTTCATCTACCGTCTGGTCATTATCACTGTATCTTGACTGAAAAGTGCACCAAATACAGCTGTAATGACCAGGCCTTCTATTCGGGTGAAGACGATAGGAGGCAGCGAGCGGCATTGATGGCTTCCTGTGGAAAAGGATTTACCTCTGCTCCTGCACCTTCACCTACCATTTTCACCCGAATATATCGCATGGTTATTAACTTATTATAGCTGTATTTGGGGCAACTTTGAGTCCAGATACAGCAAGAGTGACCATATGTTGTATTCGGGTGAAGACGGTAGGCTGCGTTAGCGTTAATTGCTTCGTGCTGAGGAAGGATTAACCTCTGCTTCTACCTTTTTTTTTCCTAAAAAAAAAAGAAAAGAACCTCTGCTTCTACCTTTTGTTTTCCTTCAAAAAAAAAAAAAAAAAAGAACCTCTGCTTCTACCTTTTTGTTTTCTTAAACAGAAAAAAAGAACCTCTGCTTCTACCTACTCCAATGCCAAAGAGAAATTCTGAAGATCAGAACAAGAAGGCTCGGGCGGTATTTTCTTATTGAAAAAAAAAGGGGAAAAATGCTCGTCTCGTTGTGACCTTCACCTTGGAGCCACTGCATTGATTGCTTTATTTATTTATTTTTTGTGGGGGGGGGGGGGGAGGAGAGAGGGAGAGAGGGTTTACCTCTCTCCCACCCCTTCACCCAGGCTGCGGTGGCATTTTGTTTTTTTCCTCAGTTAGTGACTGTAAGTCCGTCCGGGGGATTCAATGTTCGAACTCGTGATCTGTTTAGTAACAGTCGCATGGGTGTGATTATCGACGAATTCATTTTTTGTTGAATGCGATGATGCCGTGTTGTCTCGGACACGGGGAACCTCGTGCGTTTCTTTGGTGGCAGGTAAAAGTCGAAGGATTGGTGGTGGTCAAGCCACAGGACCTGGAAACCCCACCAAAGATGGAAAATGGAGCTAACGTTGGCCTGTCTGGAAGATCTCGTGAGAATTGGTCCGGTCATATGGCGAACAGCGTAGATGTGACATCTCCGACGTATCCGGGTGCTTACGCTTCTCCGGCGCATCCGTCGTCTTATTCGTCCCCGTCACGTCCTACATCGTTTTCATCTCCGCCGTTGCCTGCAGCCTATACTTCTACTGCTTTCAGTGGTTCGCCATATGGAGGGTCCGCGCACTCGTCATCGTACTCTCCCTCAGTGCCTCATCACCGGTGGTCATCCAGTCAAGGTCTTCCTTCTGCGGCCACGTTGGAGGCGGCGCTTGGGAAATTTCACCTAGCCGATCACTCCGGAGTTGATCTCGAGTTCCGTCTGGGAGCGCGGGAGGGATCGGGCTTGCTCGGCGGGGAGAAGGCCGGGGTCGACTGGATCCTGGAGAGTGTGAAGATGGGCATCAAAGAGCCTCTTGAGATTGAGGCGACAAAGGTGGAGCTCAAAAGCCTTGTGGAGCTGTTTACGGCAGAGATCCAAGCTGCCGGGCGAATTGGACAAGGAGCCCTTAAGCTTCTTCAGCGATCAGCACCCGTAGCACAGTTGGTGGTTGAGAAACTGGAAGCCAATCAAGGTACGCCTTGTTGCTGCTATGCTGGCGATGACCCGGCTATGGAGATCGCTATGTGCTTACTGTGACATTTAACGCCTCGCATGCAGTGCTCTGTAATTTGTCTGAATCTCTTTTCTGTGTTTTTTTTTTTTTTGAACACCAGACTCACCAGTACGTTTCCCACCCATTTTTCTCCGATGCGCCTTGCATGCTGGCGCAACCGGTGGGGTTTGGCAGCAGGAGCCAAATGGCTAGCAGCGCCGGGCAAAACGAGGCCCGCGCCGGTCTTCTCCGTTACTCACCAAAGATTCAAATTGAGAACGGGTCTTCTGCTAGAACGTGGAAAGATGCACCGCCATATGTTTTGTCTTTTTGTGCATGTAATGGAGTAGCGGAGCAAGGCCCTGTGTCAATTGCGGTCTGCTCATGATGATGCGCTCTGTTCATGCTTCCAATGCGGGGATGATTTTCTTACAGTGCCTGTGGAATTGGGACTACCGGATCCCAAGTCGCTGTGATGGCATGTTGCTTGTGTTTTTTTTATTCGCTATGGGCCTCACCACACCGCTGTGCATGATCCTGCAGGGAGTGGCAAGATGCATCCTTTACCGTTCGTATATTAACGGATGCATCTTGCCACTTTCTGTGGAAGATGCACTCGTACTTTTCCCGTCTTAACGGTGGTGTGTACGAGTGCATGTTCCTTCAGGGAGTTGCGAGATGCATCCGTTACCGTCGGTATATTAACGGATGCATCTTGCCACTTTTTGTGGAGAGATGCACTGGTACTTTTTCTGTCTCGACAGTGGTGTGGTGAGGCCCATAGCGAATAAAAAGAGCACAAGCAACATGACATCACAGCGACTTGGGATCCAGTCCCAATTCCACAGCCACTGTAGGAAAAAGCACCCACGCGTTGGAAGCACGAACCGAGCACCATCATGAGCGAACCGCAAGTGATGCTGTCAGTAACCCGGCAGTTTTCGTACGGTGGCCAGAGGATGGGGAATGGCTACGCTTGGCAATTTCAGCCGGATGCGAACAAGGGTGCTTTGTGATCGAGGAAGGCGACCAACATTGTTGTAAAGGGCCACTTTATCCCAATGCTCTACCAACTTTTTTTTTTTTTTTTTTTTTTTTTTTTTTCGAGAAGGGGGGGGAGCATCTGCGAGGGTCAGCAACCAAGTAATATATACAGAAGATCAGCATGGACCCTGCGCAAGGATGACACGCATTAATCAAAAAATTGTCCTTCACAGGCTTTACTTGGGCTTTACTTTTTTTTTCTTTTTTTCTTTTGTTCGACCTGGTTGATTGTGCCCTGTGTAGCACACCGAACACGGGTGTTTGGCCGAACGCCACCCGAACGTGTTCGGCCGAACATATTCAAAAAAAAAAAAACAAAAAAAAAAAACAAATTGTTTTTGATTTTTCACTCGAGTTTGGTTACGAATTTGAGTATACCTCCAAGGCAAAAGTTGTTTGTATTATTATTTTACATAACATATTTTTTTTTCAGATTTTTTGGAGAGACTTTTTTTTTTTTTTTTTTTTTTTGATTATTGCGTTGTTCGAGTTTAGAGACTTTT